CGGAGGGGCCTGGTGATTCCATAACCCAGGGCAACCTAGTTTGGGTACCAGTCTCCCACCTAGATCTTATTTAGTTAGTATTTATAGTTGTTATTAAGTTATATAAGTTTACTATTACTTAGTTTATTGTAAGGTACTGATAATATGTGGGAGAAAATAAATACTACTTACTACATCTGTACTACTTTAGTATAGTTGTAGCACGAAAGGCTCGGCTCGACAGGGGAAGGACCACGCTCTCACAGAATACCAACTTAAAATAGTAGCTTAATACTGCTGTGTTTCGTATGGTGAGTATAGAAAACAGGAGACACTTTTTACTGAAAACGAGACATTCCATGTTAGTCCTCACGGGTGACAGCACATCTGCATTTTGATTCGTAATAGAGAATTGATGTATATGTCTATGGGGCACAGCAAACACTTACCATCAGGTGGACTGTGTTCTCGTTTGTTACCATATCCTAAAAAATATTGTACTCGGAAAAACAGACACCGGTACTCTACTTCTCCTTGGCTGCGCGCATTATGGAAGATGACTTATAGCGCTTAGTGCGAATATTCGGAATATCAACCAAGTGTGGATGGTAACCTGCAGTACGTCTGGTACTCCGATTGGAGAACGGAGATGATGGTATGGGCTTATGAAGCTCATGGGCACTCTTTTCGAAGTACAATCTGTATAATACCGAGAGACAAGCAACTTGACGACGGTGAGCTAAGCTGTGAAACTTGGCTTCCACCAGCTTTTTGTCGTCGATAAGCCCTTAGGCTCTGTGTCGCACAGAGTTGACTGCAGTAATTTGATATTTTACTGAGCCATCCCAAAGGTGACAACAATACTCCATGCATGTTCCGACTTGAGGTTTATATAAAGTTATAAGATGTCCAGGCGTGAAGTATTGCTTCACCCAGTGTTTAGATGATTAAATTTAGTTTTTATAATAAACAATAGTTGACGCCACAAGTCGAAAGAGTTTTAATTTAGTAGTATTGAAAGTTTAAATTTTTATGACAAATAAAGAGAAAAAACAATGTGACGTTTTCAACAAATAAAATATGACGAAAATTTTATGCGCAGTGTTTAATTTCAAAAAGTAGTGGTGTAAACATTGATCCTACGAGTTTCGGATAAAGGTAATTATAGCGCCTATAGAAATTATTAACTAAACTTTGCAAAGTCTGAAAAAAAAATTATTATAAAATTCAACAATAACTTGCGAAAAGAACCATAATAAAAATCAGTAAAATTATTATTTAATAGTAGTTTGGATGATATAATTTACACACAATGGCAATGATTGATGTATGCAATGAATTATTTGAACAAATAACTAAGTTATATATAAATTATAAAAAGACGCCTACAGTTCGTCATACAATTAGTTATGTTGAAACTAGAAGTGAGTTTTACAAGATTAATGGCAAAAATTTACCACTAAATATATGTTATTAATTCGTACAGATCTAAGTAAAGAAGATAAGAAAATTTTGAAAGAATTGCACTCTCAAACCAAAGAATTGTACATAGAATTTAAAACAATTTTAAAACAAAATATCTCGTCACATAATTCCACAATAATATCTAATAGCTCACCTACTGCAAGTAATAGCTTTTCGCAAACAAAACCACCCATCAACCTTCCTACGTTCTATGGTAGTTATCGAGATTGGCTTAATTATTTTTTAAAGATCTATTCAGTTCATTGATACATAATGAAAAGGGACTAAGTGACATTCAAAAACATCACTATTTAAGATCATGCTTATCAGGTGAAGCTGAGCAACTTCTACTTTATTTCGATACTACTGCTGCCAATTACCAGAAGGCATGGGAAACATTAATTCATCGATATAGTAATAAGAGGATTATTTTCAACAATATATTAACACGATTAATGAATCAAAAGAAACTTTGAAATAATACTAGTTTTTACGGAATTTATCGCGTATATTTAACTTATTAATTACCCGACGTTTCGAGAGCTTTACAGCACCCATGGTCTCGGGAAAGACTGAGATGTTCAACGTCCAGCTGTCATAGTTAACCGCGGTTACCATAGATTAAAATTTAACTCTTGTTCCGATCTACACAGTATGAACTTATGGTATCATGGAGTCTTGCAGTTGTATGCTTGGGTTGGGATTTAATTTTATTTATTATAGGATCCCAAGCAGATGGTAGCACCCAGCCATCTTCTCTATTGAAATTAGGATGTTTTTTGATTTCAATAGCCTCGCGAATCATCCTTGGAAGGAATCGGTGTTCTTTAGCGAGGATTTGTGGTCTATCAAATCTGATGTAGTGACGGGGCGATCCTGTACATGTTCACAGACTGCAGACTTCCCGGAGCGTCGATTCTTCACATTAGGATTCCGAATCCTAATAACACCTTGAGCCATACTGTGTATAGAAAAAAGACCCATACAGATAGATATTTAAACGGTGATTCTCACCACCATCCTTCACAGTTAGCTACCGTGGGTAAATCTTTGTTTCAGAGAGCACGAGGGATCTGTGACAGTAAACACCTGGCTGTCGAGCTCCAACATGTCAAGCAAGTTTTGCATGACAACAAGCTTCGGGTCCCGCGCCTACGTCACAGAGAACGAGTGAAGCCGGCCACAGTCGAGCGTGTACCTGCTGTACTGCCATATGTTAGAGGAGTCACTGACAAGATTGGCTACATCTTGAAGCACGCTTCCATCAAAACATACTTCAAGCCGCCGAAGAAGATTGGTCAGTTTTTACCATCAGTCAAGTGTAACGTCCCTCTGCAAGATGCAGGAGTGTACAAGCTTGATTGTGAATGTGGTCTCTCCTACATGGGACAAACTAAAAGATCCATTAAAACCCGCGTCAAAGAACATATAGCTGATGTGAAGAATCGACGCTCCGGGAAGTCTGCAGTCTGTGAACATGTACAGGATCGCCCCCGTCACTACATCAGATTTGATAGACCACAAATCCTCGCTAAAGAACACCGATTCCTTCCAAGGATGATTCGCGAGGCTATTGAAATCAAAAAACATCCTAATTTCAATAGAGAAGATGGCTGGGTGCTACCATCTGCTTGGGATCCTATAATAAATAAAATTAAATCCCAACCCAAGCATACAACTGCAAGACTCCATGATACCATAAGTTCATACTGTGTAGATCGGAACAAAAGTTAAATTTTAATCTATGGTAACCGCGGTTAACTATGACAGCTGGACGTTGAACATCTCAGTCTTTCCCGTGACCATGGGTGCTGTAAAGCTCTCGAAACGTCGGGTAATTAAAAAGTTAAATATACGCGATAAATTCCGTAAAAACTAGTATTATTTCAATGTGTAGTGTTCGCGTAAATATAAGAAATCAAAAGAAACTTACCGTAGAATGCTCAAAAGACCTAAAGCTACTTTTAGATACCACAAATGAATGACTTAACAGTCTGGCTAATTTGGATATCGATACTACCACTTGGAATCCTATGATAGTACATATTGTCGTATCTAAATTAGATATTGAAACTCACAAGTATTCGGAACAATCATTGAGGTCTTACTACGGATCTACTTAAGTATAATGCGTTAACCTTTTATTTGGAAGGACGCTTTAGAGCGATGGAGATGGTATAAAATTTGAAAGAGAAAAAGGGAATCCTCACAGGTTAATCCACACATAAAAGGTAACACAAAACCTACCTATAAGACTTTCTGCTGAAGTTAATGCTGAATGCACTTATTGTAAAAAGCACCACAATATTGGTCACTGCACAGAGTTTATGCAATTAGACATAGATCAACGTAGAGAATACGTTAAGAATAACACCCTTTGTTTCAATTGCCTAGTAAAAGGTCATTCTATCAAATTTTGTAGACAAGATACAGCTTGTAAAAAATGTAACAAGAGACATCACACTTTATTGCACTCGACTAATTACGCTGCCAAAACTATGATTACAGAACCTGAGAGCGCATCTGAAGAAACAAAACATTTTGAAGAGTTACAAAATGTCACGAGCTTATGAATCTCTGTAAATGAGAACCAAGTTGTTCTTGCTACAGCATTGGTTTGTGTAAAAAAACATAAACGGAAATCTAATGCATCTGCGAGCTCTTGTAGATCAAGGCTCTCAGGCAACATTTATTACGGAATCTGCTGTACAGCTATTAGGTTTGAAGAAGACACGATATGGAGCAAATATTACAGGTATAGCAAACAACACGGTTAAAGCACAACACATAGTTCATTTTGATATTCATTCAATATTAGATTCGAAGTATATGATGCAAGTTAAAGCTCATGTACTACCGAAATTGACACCACTATTGCCTTCACATGAATTAAGTATTTTACAATGGCCTGGTATTACGAAGCTAAAGTTAGCGGACCCACGATTACACAAGCCAGGGCCCATCGATATTTTATTAGGTGCAGAAGTATATGCTTCAATTATACAAGAAGTTTTACTCAAATATAGATCTCTCATTGCGCAAAACTCACGATTGATATGCTTAGTGTCAGGTGCTACCCAGACACAAATTGATCGACTTGCATACGCAATAGTAGTTACAACAAATCTTAAAGAATAAGAATACAAACCACTTGAGAAACCTTTATCACAACTTGATCAACAATGCGAAGAATATTATGTTAAGATACAGAAGAAAGGGTGATGGGCGCTATGTAGTGCACTTGCTATTCAAAGATTTACATGAAAAGAATCTAGGTGGTTCAAGATAAATAGCACTCACTAGACTTTATCACACGGAGAACAAGTTCAGACAAAAACCTAAATTTCGACAAGATGACATAGACTTTATAGACCAAAAAAAAGATGTTTTGACCCATTAGGATTTTTAGGACCTGTTATAATAACTGCAAAAATATTTTTGCAAAAATTATGGTTAATCGGTGTTAGTTGGACTCATGAACTTCCAAAGGAACTTGCAAGTGAATGGGTTAGTTACAGAAATGAGTTGTCGAAAATGGGTAAAATAAACTTAGAACGATGGATGCATACTACTTTTGCTACTACTTTACTTTATTACTTTACTACGGTTCAAAACGGTTTGAAGTTCGTGGTTTCAGCGACGCTTCTTGCTTAGCTTATGCTGCTGTTTTATACTTGAGAGTTCTAACTAACCCAGCACCGAATCAAGCCAACACTGTAGCCTTCTGGCGCGGCCTGTGGTCAGAGCCCGTAAACCACAGCGAGGGCGCTTGGACGGAAGTTGTGGCGAGTCAGTTTGCGAGTATAACGCCCATGGACTTCGTCATTATAACACCGGATGACGTAGCTGAGGCGGTCCGTAGGGCCCGAACTGGAAAAGTCCGAGACTCGATGGGCTGCATCACTACTGGCTGAAGGGGTTCGTGGTGTATCACATTATGCTCGTCCGACAGTTTCAAGAGGCTCTCAACCAGAAGTCGCTCTCGAGCCTCTTCACTACTGGGATCACCCATTTGGTTCCTAAAGACCAGGATATCACAGACCCGAGCAAATACTTCCCCATCACGTGTCTACCGACCATATACAAGACACTAACATCCATTTTGAGCGCGAGAATCACTCGTCACCTGGACTCAAATAAGGTGATGTCGGGCGCTCGAAATGGATATCGCGGCGGTGGTCGTAGAACCAAGGAACCACTCCTCATTGACGCGGTCATTGGCAAAGTGGTGAAACGCAACCGTCGGAACTTCTCCGCCGCCTGGATAGACTACAGAAAGGCATTCGACTCGGTGCCCCATATATGGCTAAAGAGAGTCCTCGAGCTGTACAAGATAGACAGTTCAGTTAAAGACTTCCTCGAGCAGTGTATGGGGTAGTGGAGTACGATCTTTTGTCATCTGGGCGAGCGGATAATGGCTGCGGAGAACCACATAAGGATAAGAAGGGGTATCTTCCAGGGCGATTGTCTGAGTCCAATCTGGTTCTGCCTCACTCTGAACCCTCTCAGTACCTTACTTGCTAACTCTGAGGGCATAGACTTATCTATGCCCGTTAACTTAAGGAAAGTGCTTAACAGCCTTTGTCCGGTGTGAATAAGACACACGCATATAACGGTGTGGTCATGCCTGTCTTCATGTATACCTTTGGCATACTCAGGTGGACTCAGACTGAACTTAACGCCCTAGATAGAAAAATACGCACTACTATGACGTCCCATGGGATGCATCATCCGAGATCGTTGGTAATGAGTCTGTGCTTACCGCGAAAGCATGTAGGGCGTGGCTTTCTGAGCGCACTCACCATGCATAATCGCGAAGTATGCAGCTTCCGTAATTTCTTTCTGATGAGATCCGATGATCCATTCTATAAGAACGTCATTTCTTGTGGTAAAGGACTTACCCCCTCTATCCTTAGCCAACGAGCAATGGCAAGACCCGGCAGTGCATAGCATTTCCGACCGGAAGACCGTATGGAAGGAGAAGTAGCTCCACGGAAGGTTCTACAAGGCTCTACATGAGCCTTTCGTAGACACAGTAGCCTCCCCTCCACTGACTACGCTTTGGTGACCTCTTCGAGGAAACCGAGGGTTTTGTCTGCAATACAGGATCAGGTTATTAAGACCAATAACTATCGGAGATACATCCTAAAGGATGGCACCGTCGACATCTGTCGAGCTTGTCGCCGTCCCAGTGAGTCACTTCGGTATGTCATTTCCGATTATTTGTCGCTTTCTAACTCTGAGTACTTGTACAGACACAACGTAGTAGCCAGGATTCTTCACCAGGAGCTCGTTCTGAAATACGGTCTCGTGGATCGGAAAATGCCGTATTACAAGTACTTGCCAGAAACCGTACTCGAAAATAATCGCGCCAGGCTCTATTGGGACTAGGCCATCATCACAGACAGGACTATTCTTGAGAATAAGCCTGATATTGTGCTGATAGTCCGGGCACAGTCAAGGATATTTTTGGTCGACATTACCATTCCGTATGATTAGATTATCGTGAAAGCCGAAACAGATTAGCAAACAAAATATCTGGACCTGGCTCACGAGGTGACCGACATGCGAGGTGGTCTGCCGACCGAAATTATTCCTTTAGTCGTCTCTGCAAACGGGCTAATCCCAGCCAGCCTTTCGGGTCATCTAAGGCGGCTGGGATTACGTGGCGGAAATCTCCAGGCTCAAATGCAGAAGGCGGTGCTCCTCGATACCGCCCGCACCGTCCGCCGGTTTCTTTCCCTTTCCCCCTAACCCTCGGCCGTTTGGTCTCCCCTGCTGAGGGCCTCCATCTGTTTGAGCTTTTATTTATTTATGTATTTTTATATTTATTTAATATTATTGATATTTATCTATATTTATCTTTTCAATTCCATTTATAATTATATATTTATAGAACCTAACTCTCTAATTCTTCCATTATCTCTAATTCTTCCATTATTTGAATATGCCAATATTTGTCTCTCTAATATCTCTCAGGAGCTGCTCAGCAGTTTGGAAAGGTTACTTAACAACTGCATACGATTTATCTTTGGCCTGCGCAAATATGATCACGTATCAGAATTTCGCTCCCACTTAAAGTGGTTGACTATACGCCAGCGCAGAGATTTTCGAATGCTGTCCACTCTGTTTTTAGTTCTTAATGATCCTTCCTCACCTCTTTATCTAAAAGAAAGATTTCTATTCCGTAGTGAAACTCATTCTCTCAATTTCCGATCTTCACACAATTTATTACTGTATATTCCTCTCCACCATTCTGGGTTTATGTCAAATTCTTTCACAGTAACTTCCATCTCCCTCTGAAACCAGTTGCCTGTTGACTTGTGAATAATACCTGCCAAAAACGTTTTTAAAAGAAAACTATACGAACATATCCGTAACCAGCAAATTTGAGTCCACTTACTTTATATGATTATAGTTATTTGTATATACATTTATTGAAATATATATAAGTAGTAGTTATATTATTTATATGTGTATGTGTATAAATTATGTATGTGTGCATATATATATAATGTATGTATGTGTAGCATGTACATATTTGAAATGAATGTGATCATGACGACTACTGCCCATAACTCACTCTCTGTTCTACCCAAGGTTAGCTGGTAAAGAATGCCAAATAGCATTAAGCTCGCCTTTTGTACAAAATCTTTGGTGCAATAAATAATACATAAATAAATAAACCCAACCCGATGAGAAAACTATATTCATACCCCCCATAATAATAAATTATTTATTTCGTCAAAAATTAATGTTACATTATACGATCAGTGATCGAAATCACCTAGTAACCAAAATAATGCCTGTAACAGGTGACTTCACTCTTCCATAGCTAATGTCGCCTCTACACGTTGGCCAACACAGTGGCGAATGTAGTGGCGAATATATTGGCCGAGAGTTGGTGACGGCATCCACACGTTGGAACGTCGTTCAGTTTACTTCGGTTCGGGCCAATGTGCGGACGAATTTATTTTATTTTAGACGACGGCTCCGTGGCGCAGTGGCTTAGCAATGAGTCGCTTTGCCGGGGGCCGCGGGTTTGAATCCCGCATGGAACAAGTATTTGTATATCCTACAAATAATTGTTTCGGGTCTGGATGTGTGTCCTTGTGCAATTTATATTTGTAAGCTGCCTCCGCGATACAAGAGAAAATCTAAGTGTGGGGGTAACGTTTTTATAAAATAATTATAAAAGAATAGTGGATATTAATTTAGCTGTAAATAGATATACGATATACAATTAGCTTTATTTATTCTTTACATGCATCGTAAACTGGAATAAATATCATTAATAAGAACTTAACTTATTTTAAAGTTAAAGGAGTTATAATCGATTAGTCTATGTTTTAAAATTGGGTTTTGATTTTAAAGTTTAGCAAAACATGTACTTGCTTTTCTATCAGACATTTGATGTATATAAAAAAAAAAACACCTAATAATTTATTTGGTAATTTAATTATTTTTTGAGAAAGACAAAAACAATACCAATAAATATATACATTGAATTAATAATAGGTACTAATTATAACTTAGAACATAAATGAAAAACTCATGACGAGCAAAGTGGCTCAGGACCATGCTTTGCGGCAGTCTGTGGAGGAGGATTTTCAGTAGTGGACTTGTGAACAGCTGTAATGATGATAATGATTCGAAAACTTGCACGATTAAATTATAAGAAATCGACGCTTTTTTATATAGGATAGGGTGACAAACGAGCACACAGTTCACCTGATGGTAAGTGGTTACTGTGGCCCACAGACATCTACAACTATCCTCGATTACGAATCAAAATACACATGCGTTGTCACCCGTTAGGACTAAGATGAAATGCCTCGTTTCCTTTTAAAAGGGTCTCTGGTTCTCTACACTCACTATACGAAACACAGCATCAGTAAGCTACTATTTTACGCTGATATTCTGTGAGAGCGTGGTCCTTCCCCGGTCGAGTCGACCTTCGTGCTGCAACTATACTTCTAATATAATTGCATGGTTCTACCACGTATAAACGACGTGCTTCATTTTTTTTTCATTTTAAAATTGTTGTCGTAATAATCTGATTGTAAAAAAGTTAATTTTTTTTGATAAATAGCTTATTGATTAAAACAAATGTTTAATAATAATAATTAAATCGCGCTAATTAAAGTAATAGGAATGTTTAAAGTTGAAATTGACACTAAAAGGCAGGTAATTGGGGCATCCATCCTACAAAGCTTGAATATAAAATTTAAATCAGATGCGTGTAATCACTCTGGGAGCTTGTAGCAACTAAACGCGCGGCCAACGTGTGGACGCGGCGACCAAACTCTGCCAACAATCCTTTGATCTTTTGTAAAAAACCGACACCATACGGATCTCGCGCCAACTTGCGGGCCATCGTTCCAATACATACCAATGAAGACCAAACACCCAGTCTACACGTTGGCCAATGCTATTGGCCACTACATTCGCCACTGTGTTGGCCAACGTGTAGAGGCGCCGTAAGAATTATAACATTATTAACGAAATAAAATATCCTAAAGTAAATAATAAAGATAATAAAAATATGACTTTAGTATCCTACCATCAGTCTCAAGGCATTAATACATCAATAATATAATATATTAGGGTAGTATTTTACACATATAGAGTGTACGTGTATTTAGTAGTTGTAGTATGTGGTGTGGTATATAAATTTGTGCATGTTGTATGAGTAGTGAGTATGTTCTGAGAATGGGTGTATATATGTGTACTTTTTCATTTAGTATCTGTATCGTAATAATGTCTCTGTTTCCTCATAATTTAAGGGAATTAAAAAATTTGTAATAAATTTTTCACATTCCTTTTTTGTTTTGCTGTAGATCTCTAGTTCTTTGTTTTATTTGTTGTGTAGTAAAACGGAGAGGCTTGAGTATTGTTTACTAGCAAATGCAGT